GATCTAGCTAATCTATCCAAGCCTTCGAGTTCCAGTCTGGTCGGCGGTACAAAACGAGCCCTGTTTCCACGTCTGACAGGACCACTGGAGACCTGGGGGCCTGGGGAAGGAGAGAAAACTAACTAGAACTGTTGTCATGGGATAACGCGTCGGCCGCCCCATTAAACACACCCGGCAGATGTTCCACCACTACAGAAACGTCCAGCTTGGCCTGCAGAATGGCAAGCAGGTGAAGCAAGTGGTTCAACTGAGGGTCTTTAGCCATGCCAGCAGAAACGCAGTGAATGACCGCCTGGTTATCACAGCGATAGAGGATGGAGCCCCTCGACCAAAAGCAACCTCATACTGCCAGGCTGGCCACAATGAGGACGAGTTCTTTGGGGGTGATCGAAACCTCGGACCAGGACCTTGGCCACCAGAGTTGAAACCACTCACCCAAGGAGGCGATGAATGCACTGCAACTCCAACGTCCCGAAGCATTGGAAAAAGGAAGAGCCTTGCTGGGACCCAGACAGAAAGAAAGACACCCCGTTCTAGGACGTGAGTAGACGTTGCCACCACACAATATCTCCCCTGGCAGGCGACAGAGTCGAACCTTGTGGTGCTGCTGCTGAGGGATTTTCATCGTATTGATGAGGCCCCTGAGGAAGGGGCGACCAGGCTTGACCACCTTCGCTGCATGGTTGAGGTGACCAATCAGTGACTGGAGCTGTCTCTTCGTAGCAGCTTGCTTATTGCCCCATTTGCAAAGCGCCTGTTTAAGCCGAGCCAGCTTATCCACTGGGAGCCTGATCACCTGACAAACCAAGTTGATCTCAATACCAAGGAATATCAAGGAGGTTGCGGGACCCACAACTTTGTGAGGGGCCACCGGCAACCCTAGTTTCTCACACAAGGGGACAGTGACTTCCAGAGCATGGCAACACTCGCTGGAGGAGCCAGGGGACCATAAGAAGTTGTCTAAATAATGGATTAGGTCCGGGATCCCTTCACAATGCATCGCCCAAGCTAAGGCGTCCACCACAGCTGTAAACAGCTTTGGGGCCGAGCAAAGGACGAAGGGGAGCGCCCTATTGCAGAAGAGCTGGTCCCCCATGACATCCTCAGCAGCGGCTGGGTTTCAGGATGGACCGGGACCCTCCTATAGGCGGAGCAAAAATCGAGCTTGGCCATCCAAGCTTCCCAGCCAGCCCGGTGGACTGCCGCTACCGCCTGATCGACCGACAAATAGGATAAAGAGCAGAGCACGGGGTCGATTCCGTCGTTAACACTCGTGCTGGAGGGGACAATAGGTCCACAATGAGCCTGAACTTGCTGGGTTGGCTGGCCTTGGGAATTAAACCGACTGGGTTCACGTGAATAGCCTCGTTTGGCCCCACGCCCTTATGGTGGCTTCCCCTAACTCTCCAGCCAGGTAGTCCTGGACAACCTGAGGGTTCTGTCAAACAGACGGGAAGTTCTGCCGAGCTCGTCCGAGAGGCTGGGATCTGTCAAAGTCTACTTTGAAACCAGCAGAGATCCCCTGAGAGAGGACATCAGCAAGGGATTTATCTGGCAGGCTTGTGAGGTACGGGCCCCAAGCCTCAGCCCGCAGGCATTGGTGAATGGAGTGGCTCCCAGAGACGCCCGATGGGTGCCTCGCCTTGAGGGCCAGCAGATCAGAAGTATAGGGGTAGTGGCTCAGAAGCCACACGGAGGAGCCTACAAAACGAAGTTGAAATATCATTAACCACAGAATAAACAACAGCATACAGAAACATTAAGAGACAGTTATGAATAATAAAGAGTCAGAGTCCTGGGCTGCACTTGGGAGCCACCTGGGGCTAAGGAGCGGAGAAAGGTGACTTGGCTTTGGCCTTCCCCTTATTGTCTTTACAAATGACCACTGTATGCCCAGTCTTGGAGCAGGTAGAACAAGCATGAAGAAAAAGACATTTGCCGAATGATTTGGGACAAACTCCTGCATTAAAATGACGGCAGATCACGAGGGGAGTCCTACTATATCTTGGGGCGGGACGGGGCTCTGCCCTGCTGGTCCAGAGAGGCTAGGGCGCAGTCCAACCCATCATGGTCCCAAGATAGACAAAGGGGGTAATTCCTCGAGCCTCTGGCAGGGGCTGCTCCGAGCATTGTAGCCGACATAAGGGAGGGATTAATTTCCAACCAGCTCAGGTGAACTCCAGCAGCCACTTGCTGCCGGAACTGACGATCATACTCAAGCCATCCAGCCCCCGTAGGACTGAGCCAGCTCAATGACTATCTGGCCATATGTGACCAGCTCACATAGCCTGGGATCCGGAACTAGAACAGCCACGTAGGACAGAAAACAATAAACCCATGAGCGAGGGTTCGAGATGTCCCTCATTTGGGACCGAGCCGAGGCGCCCTGGACTGGGCCCAACTCTCGCAACTGAGAAGCTAATGCCACATTGTTTGCTAATAGCTCCTTAAATTTGATGAACAAACCCCTGGAAATTTTGTCCACCGCCTTCCCTGGAATAGGGGGCAAGGCCGACGCCAGAGCTAAGGAAGGAGAGGAGAGGAGGCTGGAGCTGAAGAGAGAGCCCCACCCAGTAGCTCAGCCAACCAGGAGGGGCGCAGCTCCGGGGCAACCGAAAGGGAAGGCCCCGACAGGGAGGTAGGCACTGGCCTGACACGACCAGCACCAGAGACTGAAGGGATACCGGCTGCTCCCAACAAACCACCAAGACTAGCCCCGGAGACAAGAGTGGAAAGGTCCAGTGAGCCAAGCATATGGGAGGGACCGCCAACGGGGAGAGCACCTAAAGGAAGAGAAAGAAAATTGGACATATCCCTGAGAAGGGAAGGAAGGGGGAAGTTAAGCCCCTTTAAGGGGAGAAGCAACCCACAGATGGGCTTGACTGCAACTAAAGAGGGGGGAGCCATGAGCGAGGAA